CCGCCCACCGAGGTTAGTCTTAGTTTGGCCTTCCGTGTAAAACCATAGAGAAAGACTTTGAAAGTTTGATATGACAGCCCCCCCCCCCATTAGAGGGGGGCATGTTCCAAGACCCCTGGGAGAGGCCTGAAACCATAGAAGGTACCACACCCTTATGTCAATGTATACAGTATATAGCCTGTACACTTATACCTATGATGAAGCTCCATTTATAAGTTAGGCTTGGCAAGAGGTGAACGACAATCACTAATAAATTAGAGCCATTATAACAGTATATTTTGATGTAAGTTATGTGCAGGTGGTCTCTTCCTCTCTCAACATACCCTCTTGTGCTGAGAGAGCCAGCAGGTGACAAACAGGTGGGTAGCATGTCAACACAAATGTGTGGATCAAGGGGTAATTCACTGCCCAGGATAGCCCGGTGTTCTGTCACATTACTCAGAATAACATGCAGCTTAAACTTACCAATTGCCAGTTCAATTCTGGAACTTGCCATGTAATATTTTTGGCCTACGTTTGACTGATGGTTACCTAAACTAGAAAGTGAAACCGGAGATAAAGGGGACTACTGTACTGATATTTTTATGATCTTCCTGTTCTTTAGGTGGGTTAGGATCTCTTTGAGGTCGATAAACCTCCGTTACAAGAAACGAAATTTACACTATTCCCTGATTACGTATTCTTATTGTACTCCTCCCACCTAACACAGGCTCTGTCTTAGAACGTTGGAAGCAATGAAGATGGGGATAGCATCAATTTTGAAGTCTTTAGAAATTTCAAGTTCTTCCAAAATTAAGCACGGTTTCAAATTAAAACAAAACAAAACAAACAAAACACCCTTTCTGCAAATGTACTTAGTATTGACAGTAGAGGTCTTTCTGCTATTATGTAACAAACAGCTCCTAAGGGACATGTAGATTATATTTTAAAAGTCAGGTGGTGTTGGGTTACTTCAAAGACTTAAAACCTTTCTTTCCAATGGTTTTCCAACTATCAGTGATTAGTCTAGCTTTTTTCCCTTGTAGCGGAAGTCACTTTTCAGTTGGTTTAGAATTCATGGTTTCTATAGACTTAGCCAAACATTGACTTGTGTTAACAGAAAGTTTTTCCATCTTAAGGCAAAATTCTGTCAGTATTAACATAGCCACGGGGTAGAGGATTGGCGTTGAGGAATTGTTTTCTGTATATTGTCAGTATCTGAGCCATACATAATCGTCTTGAGGAAGAAACTGGACATTATGATTTTCTTTAGCATCTTGCATGTCAGTGTGCAGTTGGCATTCTCCTCTGTGTGTGAGAATGGGCCACACCTTGAGAAGACTGAGAGTGCCAGTTTAAATATGAACGACCTTTCCTCTGAGCCTGTCCCTGCAGTGCCTTAAGGCTCAGAGAGCTGGAGGAGGCTGAGAGTCCTACCCCCACCTACTTCCCACCTGGCACAAGACGCTTATACCCCGTCCCCGTCTTACTTCCCACCCCCATGTGTCCTTGCTGTCCTCCTGTTGTGTAATTTATCCTGTTTTGATCTAGGAAATCAAAGCATAGGTCTTAGAGAGTTATGTCATGTGCTTAAGGCACTCTTCTAACTAAGGGTGTGTCTTCCATGTTGTGCTATATGTTTTTCATGGTCTTTTTGCTTGCTTTCTGGGAATAAGAAGCTGTCGGGAGGTATCACTCATTTTCTTTAACCTAAACTTTGATTCTTTATCAGAGCTATACTGGAATCAAAAGGCACAATTATAACAATTTCGTTTAAAAATCTTCATTGGCTTTGTGATTGTAGAACTGGGCAACATTCCATTTCATAAAATAGAGTAAGTGTTCCAAGGAGCTGAGCAGGGGGGATTGGTTTTATAGACAGAGAAAGGCCAGAGAAAGTGAACAAAGAACAAAAAGCCAGTTGGCCATTTTAAAGCTACTTTTCTCACAAGGAGGCCAGGACACGCAACAATAGAAAAACAACTGATTAACAACTCCAGGTTGTAAGGATTAAAGGCAGAGGTAGCTTCCTTATCATCCTGAGTGAACTGGCCTGTTTGAGAAATTTGGCTGTTACCTCCAGATGCAGTCAGTGTCATCGGAACTTTAGTGTAAGTGGTTACATTTTGGGTTTTAGTCTGATTTGTTGGGGCCCGAGGGCAGGAGCTTGAGTCTTAAACAATGGCCTCCTATAATTTGTGTTTAATTAATAGCTAATTTTTCTACATCAGTGGTATGTATTGAAGTTAGAGGCAGCTTAGAAATCCCCCCTGGCCAGGCCTTAAAGAGTTTTGACCTTGGTGGTGTCTCCACATTCCAGAGTCTGGCCTATGGGTGTCCAGGGTCAGAGTTGATCTGGCTTGGGTGATTCACACATACTATCCAAATCCCGAGAGAGCCATGCACTGGGGTTACTGGATCATAAAAAGAAGTGAAAGAATTTACTATGTTGTCAGATGGCTTATTTTCTTTTCTGTGGAAAATCTACATGAAAAGCCAGATTACGATCAGAAACGAGGTTTGTGCGTATGGAATGGACACAGGGAGTCAATGATCTCATTTCTTCTGTATTTTGAACACTTTTCTCCATGGCAGGCACTGTGCTAGGTGCTGGGGTGACAAAGATAAAAGCACATGGTCCCTTTCTTTCAGAGGCCTTTCAGTGGCCAGAGTGACTAGACAAGTACAGTGACACAATTGCTTTGGCATAGGAGTGGGTGGTGGCATCTGAGTGTCCACCCCTGGGGGAGGAGCCAGGAAGTGCATGGAGAGGGGCAGGGCGTAGCTGAGATGGAGGAGGGGATGGATGCTAGAGAAAGAGTGGCCTGGCACAGGCGAGGGGGCAGGCGAGTTTAGATGTCTCTCATCTCAGGACTGTAGAGTGAGAGGGTGGAGTGACAGGAGGATGTGGCCGTGTAAGGTCCTAGTGTGATATCTAAGCCAGGAGACCAGATCTCCACCTTCCCCTCCCCACCCCTTCCAAAAAAAAATACTTGGTTACTGTACCCTTTGTAGCCCTCTGTACTATAAGCTGTCGGTAGGGTTTCACTTAAATACTTTCAACATGGATGCTGTTGTCTTTCCCTGTCTTTGTCCTTATAGGAAGCAGTGCTGACCACCATGGACATCATCCACGATGGATTTGGGTTCATGCTGGCTTTCGGAGATTTAGTGTGGGTCCCATTTACCTACAGCTTCCAAGCCTTTTACTTAGTCAGTCATCCAAATGAAGTGTCTTGGCCAGTGGCTTCACTAATTATTGCCCTGAAGCGTGAGTATGGACTTTCAGTCTTTCTGTGTTAATATTATATACCGAATCTGTTGTGCTCCAGTATCTGTGTATCTGTAACAGGCCATACATATTTATAAATACATAAATGATCATATTTATTGCCAGAGGGTGTGTACACTTACCAGAGAGTAAGAGACCCCAATGGGGCATGGTCATGCCACAACTTCTTTTGCTCAATTTTTTCATCCTGTCAGGATTTTGGGCACATTGTCTGACATGGTTTTCAAGCTGCTTGGATTGGGATTTGAACCACAGTTGGTCATGTGGGATCTAGTTCCTAGTACACAATACTTAACCACTGCACTGTGGGGGTGGCCCAACATGCCATTTTAAATGGTCATAATTCATCAAGTTGACGTAATTGGTGGTAGATGAATAATAAATTCTACATCTTGGGGGACCAGCAGGTGGCGTGGTGGTGAAGGCACTGGACACTCCCACATGGCCGACCCTGGTTCTAGTCCTAGACTTGGTGGCTTGCTTTCTCACTTACGCTCTGTCTCTCTGGTCAAATAAAAATAAATGAACAAATAAATAAAATTAAATAAATACTTTTTTTTAAAAAAAAAATTCTACATCTTGTGAAGAGAAGGGTACTTCATACTTGAATTACTGTCTAAACAAAACTTTTAAACAGACTATTTTGTTTGTAAATTTAACTTAGATGAAACTGATTTTAACTGTAATCATACTTTTTCACTGATTACCTGCTTCTTTGGATATACATCTTTTTTTTTTTTTAAAGAATTATTTTATTTAACTTTATTTATTTACTTATTTTTAAAATTTGACCAGAGAGGGAGGGAGGGAGAAAGTGAGAAAGTGAACTGTCAGGTTTGGGATTTGAACTGTGGTCGACCACGTGGGATTTCAGCACCCTTAATCACCATGCCACCTGCCATCCCTGGGTAGACATCTTAAAAAGTAGAAAGTTTGGTCTTTCTCTGTGGAGCTTCTACTCTAACAGGAGTAAAACACTCCTTCTGTGGTACAAGACAGATGAGTGAGTTCTAATGAGAGTTTAAGATAAAGAAAGATCGAGAACCTGTCTCTCTGGAGAATGTTGGTGTAAGCTTCTTGGAGGATATATTGGATCTGAGTTTCAGTGGGTAAGCAATGAGGTGGAGAGCTGTGTAGGTCAGGCAGAGGGAACTGCTCAGCAAGGGGAGTGGAGGGGGAGTTCAGGGGAGGCTTGGGAAAGGCAGGAGTCCAGGTTGGCTGCAGCTGAGCTCCACCGGCTCAGTCATGGATTCACTTCAGTATGGCTTTTCTTCATCCTCTGGTCATTATCAGTACCTCCACCAGAGATTGAGTGGGGAAAATTAACATGAAATTCAAATATAGCTAGTTTACTATACTGAGTAATGTCCATGGTAGAAGAAATTCAAGCTGTTGGTCAGATTTAGTTTTACCATTGGTTTGGTTACCCTTGTCAATCTGTCAATATACAGATTATTTTGTACAGTTGGCTGAAAATGGGAGATAGTATTACTTTTTACTATTTTTATTGAGGGCTGATGATAATAGGTAGCAGTGATATGTTAGGGCCTCTGGATTTTGACATTTTGTACTTTGAATAAAGCTATCAACTTGTAAGCTTGCAGTAAGATTCAGCATATAGTTAAAGTATAAGATATTCCTATATTGATTCTGAGTGGGGGCTTTATTAATAACATGTTCATGCTATGGCCAGTAGGTGTCATAGCTAATGGGTGACATAGCCTGCAAATTTGATTACACTGAACTGTAGTATTGCTTTTATTATAATGTGAGCTGCCTTTGATTTTACTTTATTCCTAGCTGTAACTCTATTTGGTCATTTTGCCTATATGTATTCCTTAGTTGGATTATGAAAGTAGCATGATAGTGAGATTTCAGAAGCGTTGCCATCTTTTTTTTTTTTTTTAACAGAGATTTTTGCTATAAGGCACTTGCCCTCATCAGAGAGACAGGGAGACAGAAAGTGAAAAATCACCCCTCTGTGGGGAATGGCCACACTGCAGTCCCTTCTCCTCATTCTTGTCTTGGGATTTGGGGCATGCACGCACACGCACCTTGCGTGAGTTTTAAGCATGCACACGCACCTGGTGTGAGTTTTAAGCATGCACACGCACCTGGCGTGAGTTTTGGGTCTGGGACTCAAACTGCAGTTGACCATTATGTGGGAGCCCAGCAGCATAACCATGACGCCATCTGCTGGTCCCGTTACCATCTTTTGATGTTCTGGTATTGAGAGTGTTTGAATTGTTCTTTAAAACACGGACTGTTTTCTGCTCTGGAAGTTTCCTGAGGACACAGAAATAATTTCTAACAGAAATTATAGGTGATTTCAAGTATTAGATTATATCTAAATTATTAACATAGGAAAATATTTTAAAATTACAGTTTGTGGATATGTAATCTTCCGATGTGCAAATTCTCAGAAAAATGCATTCCGGAAAAATCCCACAGACCCAAAGCTTGCACGTAAGTATTGGTTATGTTGATGTTACATATATTTCATGAAGATTTTGTTTCTTTGTTTGTTTAAAGGTCATTAAAATTTATTATTATTATTATTATTATATAGATCTAAAAACCATTCATACTTCAACGGGAAAAAGCCTTCTAGTGTCTGGATGGTGGGGCTTTGTCCGCCACCCGAATTACTTGGGTGATCTCATCATGGCCCTGGCATGGTCCCTCCCTTGTGGTAAGCATTTAGATGAGTGCTACTCTGACTTTTCTTCAGCTACCTGAAAGACGTGTGTGTGTGTGTCCTTTGTTGGGACAGTGTGGGCAGAGTCAATGTCTTTTTTTTGTTCCCTGTTATGTATTGGTTGGGGTTGGGCATCAGGAGGTTCCTCTTCATTTGGAGCTGTTTTCAGGTATCCAACACCTCATCTGCTGAGCTGCAGAGGGGGATCGGGACTTCACAGAGCCTGCTGTTTTATTTTTAAACATTTTAAGCTTTAAACTGTGTCAGAGTATACAGAAATTCACTTTTTATTCATGATTCAGTGTACATTGATTGTGGAAAATTGGTTCTTAAAAAGGAAAGAAGAAGATTTGTCCCAACTGTGAGGGTGTGGTGGCTGAGCACCCAGCAGGGCTGTTACCTTGTGTCCTGGCCCACCACGGGACAGCAGCAAATTTTCTCCCTCACCAAAGGCAGGAGGGCAAGAAGTGGGGAAATTTGCATTAAACGTGAAGATAAATGTCCCGACTACGATGGATTGGTTAGACCGGGCTAATCGCTCTTCTCCGAATAGCTTTTATTTCAGACACTTGCCTCTCACCTACCAGTGGGAGTCTGTGGTCCAACTTAGTTGTTTTCCCCATTCTGGAGAAAACAAAGTATTCTTGTTGGTTTGAGAGAATTTGGGCAAAGGCAGGGAAAAAGTCGTGTAGCAGTATTACAGATCTCTAACTATTTACCGTTGCCGTCCATAGGTTTCAATCACATTCTGCCTTATTTCTATGTGATTTATTTCACCATATTGCTTGTCCACCGAGAAGCTCGTGATGAGCATCACTGTAAGAAGAAATACGGCCTGGCCTGGGAGAAGTACTGCCAGCGGGTGCCCTATCGTATATTCCCTTACATTTACTAATCCTCTTCCGGCGTGTGCTTAAAATGCTCTCGTGATTCTGGCTTCGACTTGTCAAAAAAAAAGAAAAAAAAAAAAACCCAAAATGAACTTTCTTTTGTTGCACTGACAGGATCTGTAAGTTTTGTTTTTCCTTTTGAGTCAGGACTATAGATCTTTTAATAGAGCCGTGTTTGTTTTTATTAAATTATGACAACATAAGGAAAAATAAGGTTGTCATAATTTACATTGTAATAGGAAATTTTCAGTCCTTAAAAATCTGAAAACAGATTTAAAAAGTCTTATAAAAGCCCTGAAAAGAATATTGTTGATGTTTATGGTTTTTGATTATTTTCAAAATTTTTTCTTTTGTTTTTTGGTCTTTTTATAAAGGAAAACACTGTTACGTTTAAAATACATTTATGTTTTATTGCATTAAAAATAGATTTCTACTTCGTTTCTCTTTAAATCTTTTCCCAGTTACATATGATTTGAAAGTAAAAACCGGTCCTATATTAAATGCTATGTGTGAAGAGTGATGAAGAATTATTAGCAGACACTGTTGAAGGGGCATCAGTAGTGGCACTTGTCTTAACCTCGACTTTTAAACCTGTGTTTGGAAATGTAAATACGTAGCGTACTTTTTATGTAATATATGGTGACTTCAGAATTTTCTGTACAGTATTTTGAATGTGAGATAATTGTCAGGACTAACTATCTTTTTGAAAAAAAACATTTTCAGTATTTTAAATTAAGCTTTGTAAAATAATACATGTGAATTAAAAAATTTGAAACAATTACAATTCATTTAATATTGTATAGAAGAAGGAAGGGTATTTTTCTTAATCCAAAGTTTGCAAATTTGGCTTTGCTACCTCAATTGCAGGTGTTTGTTTGCCTTTATAAGCTGTTGCAAATAGAAAAAATATATATTTTTGGAAAACCATCACTATTTAAGCATTCAAGCATTTTTACACAAATTGGTGTTTGAAAATTTGCCATTTCAGGCTAATATTTTTATATGTTTTTGACTTTTTTAATTCAACAGTGTTTTTGCTACTGTTTAAGCTCATGCAGTTTATACTGTACTTTGTATATCTTTTATATTTACAACTTTGCTCTCTGTAAAGGAGTGCTATCTAAAACAGCTTCTTAAGGGGTTAGTTTAAAGTCATATCTGTCTTTAGTTTAATAGATGTACATAAGGTAACGTTAGCCATTAAATTTTAGTGATGTCTATTAGTCTCATTGTTAATTGGCCCATAAAGGAGCAGTAGCAAATTCACCAAACTTTTGTATTCAAAGTTAAATTGCTTTCAGCATATTAAACATAGGGGAATGTGATAAATATAGTGTGTATGTTTGGGTTTTAATTATAATTACACATTTTATATATGAGCCATTTAGATAATGCAGTGTTGATTTTACACTGCATTTTGAAGTGTATGGAACTTAGCTTATGTTAATGTGATCATGAAGTTGGTTTGCTCTAGCATTCTGCATCCTATAATTTTTAAACATTGGTGAAACTGTTTTATTAGTACTGATGTATGTAAGTAGTTTTTTTTTTTTTTTTTAATGCTTTTCTCCTGATATCAGTAAGTGACGTTCCAGTGTGTTCTGTACAAGACTCATCCAAGGAACCTTTGAGGATGGAAGAAGGATGTTCACTTGTTTCCCTACTAATGAAAAGAGCCCGTTTCGTATATAGTGCAGTAATTTCTGGATAGCTACAGTTAGTTTTTAATTTTGTTTTTGACATGTTTATTTGACAAGTTTTATAATGAAGTTTTAAGTTGGAAATAAAGTTGAAAATAAAAATGTTGTTTTGATCATTTTGGACCCCCTCCCCCTTTTGAAATATTTTGCCTGCAACTCCAGGGTTTTAGGACCAAGATGGGAGCCCTGAGATTACCACCCTTACCCTAGATTTTTTTAGTATCATTTGTTTGGGATCCTGCTGGATCAAAGAAATTGAGAAGACATGCAGGGGCCTCTGGCCAACTGCTGTTCATATCAAGTCTCAGTGTTGGAGCTGGATAAAGAGGGGTTAGTTGAAGGTCTCAACTCCCAGGAAAGGGTCATATATTTAATACTTGCTGTTTGAGAAATCAGAGAAATGCTAAAAACTATTCATGATACTTTCAGTCACAGCAGCATCTGTGTGCATTTGCGAGGCAGGATGTGAGAGACCTGTCTGTAGACATATCTGCTCAGTACTTGTTTGGGTTTCTAGCTCCTGGGCTATGAGATGAAGTCAGACAGTTTTATCTCCATTTCTCTTCCCAGTGTGACATTACACTGCAGAAGGCGGGTCTAGACGATAGCAACTACCAAATGGGTTAACAATATGCGATCCATATTTTGGCATTTAGTTTTGTACGTTTGGAGGAAAAGCCTTAAAATGTGTCGCCTTTTCTTCCCCCTTTCTATAGAGAGGGTGGACCATTTTTTTTTTCCTTTTGGGAGAGGTTTTTGCTATAGGGCGCGTGCACTCGCCAGACAGAGACAGAGAGATAGAAAGCGAGAAATCACCTCCCAGGGGGGATGGCCACGCCGCAATGCGAGGCAGGATGTGAGAGACCTGTCTGTAGACATATCTGCTCAGTACTTGTTTGGGTTTCTAGCTCCTGGGCTATGAGATGAAGTCAGACAGTTTTATCTCCATTTCTCTTCCCAGTGTGACATTACACTGCAGAAGGCGGGTCTAGACGATAGCAACTACCAAATGGGTTAACAATATGCGATCCATATTTTGGCATTTAGTTTTGTACGTTTGGAGGAAAAGCCTTAAAATGTGTCGCCTTTTCTTCCCCCTTTCTATAGAGAGGGTGGACCATTTTTTTTTTCCTTTTGGGAGAGGTTTTTGCTATAGGGCGCGTGCACTCGCCAGACAGAGACAGAGAGATAGAAAGCGAGAAATCACCTCCCAGGGGGGATGGCCACGCCGCAATCCCTTCTCCATTCTCCTCTCAGGATCTTGGGCATGCACGCACATGCGCCCAGCGTGAGTTTAAGCCACCGGGTCCGGGACTAGAATCGCGGTTGACTACGTGGGAGTCCAGCGACATAGCCATTATGCCAACTGCTGGTCCCAGGATGGACCATTTGATCCTCATTTGAGAGACATGTTTTCTGCCCAGGTCCAAGGAAATAATGGCATGTGGCTTTGAATCATAGCTCTGCTCCCTCTTAGCAATGTGAGCTTGGGCAAATGACTTAAATCTTCCCAAGTTCCTGTTTCCTCATGTATAAAATGTGACAGATATACCCACACAGTATGGGGGCTGGGGAGAGGTATCTAAGGCTTATATGGGGATTTTTTTTTTCTTTTCTTAAGAATTATTTCATTTAACTTTATTTTTACTTGACCAGAGAGGGACAGAGTGAGAGAGAGAGAAGGAAAGTGAAAAAGTGAGCCTTCAGGTCTGGGACTTGAACCACAGTCAGCCATGTGAGAGTCCAGCACCCTTAACCACCATGCTACCTGCCAGCCTGGGGAATTCTTATTAGTACTCACTAGAGCATTCAATAGTGACAGCAGTTCTTCCTACAGAGACACATTTCAATATTAATCCAATATATCAAATTTTCAGGATCTGGTTTTTCGATGAGATCTAGTGAAGTTGGAAAAGACCACATCTTTTGAAGGGAGGACTGCTCTTTTCTTTCAGAAGTCTGCTGCTCAGCTGGGGGAAGTGTTCCAAAGAACAGCTCTACATGTGTATATTTTATGTATGTAACCTCACAGATCACTTTAAATCAGAGCTCAGGAAAACATGCCCTGGTGTTTTGCTAGGTGGTGTGGTTTTCACTTTGAGGAGAGTCAAACATGCTGTATTCCAGGTTAGGCTGACCTGGACTACGGCTCGACTACAGAGATAACTACACATCAGCTCTTACACGTGCTTAGAATGAAATGCAGCTGGAAGGTTCCCCTGCACATTGAAGTTTTTCCGTTCAGATGAAAGAAAGAGACTGCACCTATTCAGTCCGGCTGGATACACATGTTTTTATGAAGGATGTCGACGATGTGTCGGTGTCTTGAAACATGTAAATCTGCCAACATTAAAATGGTTTGTTACAGAATTTTTTCATTCATTATTCTCACACAGCAGTGCAACCTGCATTGTGATCCAATGACTAGGAGGTTTCTTTGTTGATAAATACACGGATGTTAACAAACTTGTGGATGAGCCAGTAGTTGTCAAAATTCTTGACCTCTCAGGTGTCTGGTAAATTGGGCATTCAAAAGTATAGAGTTCAGTATCTGTCTTGTTAGAAGCATCTGGTTCCTCAGGAGAAACCTTGGGGTGGGGGGGAAAACCACTAGTCAAATTGCATAATTTAAAGCAAACCAGTAGCTCCCATTTCTGTTAGGTTTGGGAGATTTGCTATGAAGTAAATACAGTTAAGGTTAGCTGGCTAGTGTAATTGCATATGAAAATTATGCCTTAGAATGTGAAGAATAAGCATGGCTGTCTATGTGCACATACTCCTGGAAAATCACTCTGGAGGGTGGTATATCATCTATTTCAGGTTTTAGCAATATTTTGGGCTATTTGAAATGTCTGAAGTATATCATCAAATCTCTTGTGAAATCTTAGGGAATGGGAGATGGGGGAGAGCTTTGTGTAGTTGACAGAAAGTTAAGAAGTTTGGGACTGTGATAAACAGCTGGGTGGTTATTTACCTTTGTTGGCATAAAGTATATGTCAGGGAAATCACAACATAGCTCCAGAGGTGAGTCTTCCAGTATTTTTTGTTCATGATTCCACCTTGCTCCCTCGATGTACAGACCAAAAATGTGCACTCCTGTGTGTGAGGGGTCTGAGCCCTAAGATGGAAGAGAGCTGCTATTAGTGGTTCCCCAGGCAGCATGCTTCCTGCAGGAGAAGCAGCGAGGCCGACTGGAGGTTCCACCCGGAGACAGCATCTCGGTACAGGACCATCCCTGCCCAAGGTATGTGGTCTTCAGTTCCAAGGTGAATACTTTTCCTATTCTGGGTGCTTCAAAATGGTTGCAAACTTTGTATGTTGATAATCCTGAACTGACAGGTATTTTCAAACACAGCAAATCCCCAAATTCTATAATGATAATTCTGTAGGCAAGCGTCTTAGGGGAGAGCAAGAACAGTTACACAAAGCAGACAGAGCACACACTGTGCTCCAACTTTGCCACCGTTCTTTACCAGGGTGACTGGAATTCCAGGCTCTGGAAATGTAAGAAGGACTGCAAAGGGTTCTGTATCATATCTTTGAATAGTACAAGTTAAATAGTGACACCTGACTGATAAAGGTTCAACTGAGTTTCTGATGAATTCTGTTAGTAGAAATTGAGGGTGGTTCCTGTTCTCAGTGACTCTAGACAAGCCTTGGGCGGGCAGGTGTGCAATGGAGATGCTCAACTTGGAGGGGCTGGGTGGGCTTAAATAGACTTCAATCTTTTATTCATTTATTTATAACTGTCTCTCTCCCTAGATAGAGAGTAGGGGAGATACGAGGTTTGACAGCATCCGAACTGAAAGGGAACCATGCCTAAATCTGCCTCTCAGTGCCTGGGACAGATCCTGTCATGCGTCACGTGCTGACTAAACGTTGAGGGATTGGTTGATTAAGTGGTTATCCTTCCCAATCTTTTAAGTATTTCAGTACCTTAAAGGCTTTCCTGACTATGTTGAGTTTTCTCTGGATAATTATGGAGAGCTCGTCTTCGGTGTCGGTGGTGTCAGAGATCACATGGTGGGTAAAAGTGAGGGTGTCCATAGAGATTCCTTGGGCCCTTCCATAGTCTTGAAGCACAGCAATGAGAAAAGCTTTGGAGAAAAATATGCATCAGTAAGTTCCATGCGAGTCTCAGGGCTTCCCGTGGGGGTTCCCAACATTGATGTCCGTGGGAAGGGAAGAGTGGAAGAGAGTCAAAAAATAAAAGAGTGAGAGCTTGGGTAGGCAGGAGAGGATCAGTCCACCCCTTTCACTCAGGCCTTGGTGATATTAGTCTGGCAGCTGTGTGAGCCTCCTGGGAAACATGGCTAGTTGTTTTTTCTTTAAGTCCAGCGTCCCTCCCATTATTTACGGGAAGAATGGAGGGGCTATAAATCCTGGGACTACACATTTCTGACCCAGTCTTGGCTGATCATTGTATTTCATCCTCTTGACAAAAAGATGGGTCCCAGGAGTGAGTGTAAGACCAAGTGTGAGAACCTTTCTTAGGAAATGACCTATGCACATTGGGAAAATGTTTCTCCTCTGGGGTTGCTAATCTGCTTGTGGCCATTTCAACCCCCAGTTACATGGGAAAATGTCTACGTACAGCAGGAAACAAGAGGATACAACTCACTCTTCCTGCTTGTCCTTGTAATCCCCATCAGCTTGCTCCTTTCCCCATGATCCCCATTTCAGCAAATGATGTCACCCAGCTTTCTAGGACAGAGACCTGGGAGTTATGCTCAACCTCTTCCTCCTCTTCCTCCCATGCTTTCAAATATGGGGTCCACTTGGTTCTTTTTTTTTTTTTTCTTTTCTTTCTTTCTTTTTTTTTTTTTTTTTTTTAGGTTTTTTGTTTA